CCCCAAAACCCCAAAACCCCAAAACCCCAAAACCCCACAATTACAAAGTCCATTGAAAAATTATAATCCATTCTTTTGCTGGTCGATTGTTCCATAGATCTTATCAAGCATCATCTCTTGGACACTCATGCTTTGGGAAGAATTAGAGGATTGAAGTCTTGCTTTCTCTCCAAAAGGAGGATATCTCTCTGTCTCAACCTTGTTCTTATTCAGTAGACTTTTGTATTTCAGGTATCTATCCTTTGGTAACACTTCATGCGTGCTCTTATGCACCTTTGACAGATTTGGGAGTCAATTCCTCTTCATCACGCAGACATTATTGAGGTTGTGAGAGTGTTCTAGGTTCGAATACCCCTTCTTACGGATTTTGGGAAGGACAATCCTGGTGATACCTTCCCTATTGATTCCAGTGTTTTGAGGTACAGTTCCAATCCTTGGCTTAGTAGCATCATCTCGTGGGCAGAACTCATCATCATAATTATTTGAATTCTCTTTTGCTTTCCTCTGAATCGATGAAGATTGGTTTATTTTTCATTTAAGCAAGGTTAACTTGCTAGTGTTCAGCCTTCTCTGAGAGTCTTTTCCAAATACTTCTTTGAATACACTCGGAACTTTAGAGCCTATGAGCATGAATAAATAAGCAAAAATATAGAAAATTGCAATACCTTTAACTTCCTGAGAATGACTTCTTTTAGTAGATTTTGAGGCATGATATTTCGATTTCGGCAATCTTTTGTTCAAACTTCACTGTGATCAATAAACCTACCTAAAAATACTGTCTTTCTTGTTATCTTTGATTTTAATAGTTTGTAGTAGAGTATCTCTACACTGATTTGGACCAATATTCTCATTATTTTCAAATTCATCCTCGAAAAGTAACATTTTCTGTTTCACTTCTTTAGTTTGTAATAATTGTAAGGCTCTTAGTCTTGAAGTTACATTAACAGTGAGGCATAGACCAATAACTGTACGAAGTTCATCTGAGTAATGATAAGGAATATCTGGATAATTACCTTTAATAACCTTCTTAAACAAAGCCTTCATGTCCTTGGCTTTAAATGGTGGGTTTAGAGCAGTCATTTCATAAAGGACCACTCCTAGTGACCATATATCACACTTACAATCATATGGTTTGTCTCTCCACACTTCTGGACTAGCATAATAAGGAGTGCCTGTCTGAGTGAACATCAGGGCTTCGTCACGACAAACTTTCGAGACGTTCAAGTCGCCTAACTTTATAGTACCATCTTTCATTAAAAATACATTGGCTCATTTCAAATCTCGATGGACTGTGTTCATGGAGTGTAAATATACAAGAGCTTGGGTGATTTGGATGAAATATTTCCATATATGGTTTTCGGGGAGATACATCTTCCTCTCTTTCTGCTTGCATATCCTCTCATATAGGTCCCCGTTCTCTCCATATTCCATGACAATACAGAGATTAGAAGTACTCTCATCAATAAAGGCTTCTTTATACTGTATAATATTCGGATGGTTAATAGAAGCAAGTATCCTGACCTCATTCAGGGCATTGCTTCTCTCTTTTTCATTGAGCTGGCCTAGTTTAACCTTCTTCAGTGCATAAATACAGTAATCACTCAGCCTTCTGACTTTGTAAACTGTGCTATAGAACTGTTAACAAAATGAGGTAAAATATAGATCTTTAGGAAGGGAAAATAGAACAGAATCATACCTATAAACACCTTTTCCCAAGGACTCAAGGATTTCAAAATCATCGATGGCGGTCTTTTTCTCCATTTCGCAAATTGGTTATCCCTATTGAATTAATTTCTACAAAATTTAATTTCAAACTTTTCAAATTATGTGGGGTTTTGGGGTTTTGGGGTTTTGGGGTTTTGGGG